ATATATATGTATAAAGAAGAAAATTAGAGAGTAAGTCAAGGAGAGCCAATATCTGAATAATGAAAGTTCTAGAAAGACAAATCAAAGAGAATAGAAGGTAAGCAATTATCAAAAACAAATAAAATAATGCAAGAGAATTTCCCCAAACAGAAGGACATGAGTTTCTAGATCAAAAGGGGCCATCACTGTACAATATAATGAACAAAAATAAAATAGACTCATATCAAGGTACATTGTTATGAAATTTCAGTACAGTAAAGACTAAGAAAGATTGTGAAAGCTTCGCAGACTGAAAAAAAAAACAGGTTAAACACAAAAGATCAGGAATCAGAACAGCAAGACTTTGAACAGCAACATGAAACCAGAAGACACTGGCATATAATACCTTTAAAACTGTGGATGAATTTTGCACTAGAATTCTGTACAGAGCCAAATTATTCATTAAGAATAGGCTAGAATAAAGATATCTTTAAGATATTCAAGGTCTGAACAATTGACCTCTCATGTGTATCTTTATCAGGAAGCTACTAAAGGTAGCGGGGGAGCAGAGATGTTCCTCTAAACAAAAGAGTAAACAACAAACAACACTAGATAATAGAGCCAATGAGAGAAAGTTGAAGAGAATCCCCAGGATAATGGTGACATCCCTAGGATTTCTACTGTACAGTGAACAACCAGTCTAGATTAGAGCAAGCCAGAGGGCTACATAGAAAACTAGTCAGGGAAATAAAACCAAGACAATTACTAACCACAGAAAGAACCAAAGTTGTGAGAGCAAGTATGTATCGGTCAATCTATTTACAGAAATACACATATATACATATACTCAGAGAGAGGTGATAATTATATTAGTACTTATAGTAGCAAGGGAACACACAAATAAAATAAGAAACAATCTAAAATATCCAACTGTAAGAGTATAGTTAAACAAATCATGGTACATTCACAAGATTGAATATTTTACAGTCATTTCAATGGTTTTTCAAAAAATATAATGTTAAAACCTGTATGACTCAGAGACCAGAAGAACTAGATGGTATCTGGTTACCAGTGGTAACCACTTGGAAAGGGATCAAAATTGGAGATCCGTACAGAATAGGAGAAGAAAGTGGAATGAAATACAAAATCATAAAGAAGACCAGGCCTACTGGTCTGATAGAGACTGGTGAAACCCCCAGGTCTATGGCCCTGAGTCTCCCTTTAGGCCTGGAATTGATTTCACTGCAGTGGCTTAACTCTAAGCCATACAATAGACAGGCCTATGAGCTGAACACCTGCACCAGGGAAATGCACTCCTTAGAACAATCAACCATGGGAAATCAGAAGGGCAGCATTTGCATGGGGAGAAACATGAATGCACAGGCAAGTAAGACACAGAGAAAGGGTAACCACAGGGAGGAAGTGGGAGGTGAGATGTTACCCTGTGGGGAATGTAACCATTATCACAAAACAAAATGTGTATATGAACTGTTGAATGTAAAACGAATCTGCTTTGTAAAATTTCATGCAGATCACAATAAAAAGTTAAAATAATAATAATAATAATGATGGTAAGTGAAAAAATTCAAATGGAACTATGGCCCTGGCTTATATGTTGGGCCTGGAACTGGATGGGCCCAAGAATTTGTATTTCTAACAAGGTCTTAGATGGTAGGGATGTGGTCTGCCCCAAGTATAAAAGAAGAAGCTTTAGGAATGATCTTTTGGCACATTTTAATCCTGCATGTAGCCCAGTCGTTCAGCAGTTTACCATGTTGTCTGCCAATCTTGGGACTTTTAATGGACTTGAATCAATGGCCTGCCATGTGGTTTGGTAACATCAGGACTGTGCCTTTTTACTTATTGACCTTGGGCTTGTCAGCCTCAGCAGCCAGCAGCTGCCTGAGTGAAGAAGCCTCCAGCTTCAGTGGGCCAGGAGCAAGAGGCAGAGCTGAAGCCCAAGGTCAAGGGGCTTTCATCCAGCTCCTAGAGCTTGGCACTTTGAACTTGGCCTTCTAGACTCGAAAACTGTAAGAGGATATATTCCTGTTTGTTAAAACCATCCATTTGTGGTATTTCTGTTAGAGCAGCACAAAATAACCAAAACACCATCTATCCCAAAATATCTAATTCCCAGGCCTGTCGTAGGAAAAGCCTCAATTTTAGAGACTTTTCTTTGGTTTAAAGCATAATATACACTTATTTCTAAGATGATTAACACAAGAATACATGCAAATTTCTCAACCAGCCTAGCCACATAGCTTAATCCTAAAGGAATGATGACTCAGGAAAAGAAGAGCTGTCTACAGTCTGGGTTAGGTAAATAGTTAAAATATGGCCAAGTAGAATGAACAATGTTTTTCCAATCCATACATATGTATGTGTCTTTATTTATTTAGCTTAGTTGGTCACAAAGTGTGCTCCCTGGGCCAGCAGCATCAGCATCAGTATCACCTAGGAACTTGTTAGAAATAGAAATTCTTGGTCCCATCCCAGATCTCCTAAGTCAGAAACTTTAATAGGCTGGGCTTGTCAATCTGTGTTTTAACATGCCCTCTAGGTAATTCTGATGGGAACTCTGGTAGCGTAGGATTCAAACCCACCAGCCACTCCTCGGAAGGAAGGTTGGGCAATCTACTTCTGTAGTGATACTGCCTCGGCAACCTCAGGAGGGGTTGCTATGAGTCAGGTCTGACTCCACAGCACATAACAACAACAACACAACAGGTAATTCTGATGCAATAAAGTTTGAGATCCCTGATCTGGCTCTTTAATTTCTCTCAATAATATTTTGTAGCTTCCAGTGTAGAGATCTTATATATTTTTAAAATATATTCCTAGGTATTTGATGTTTTTTTGATGCTATTATAAGTGGTAGGAGCTCTGGTAGCATAGTGCCTAAGGCACTTGACTGCTAACCAGAAGGCTGGCGGTTCAAACCCACCAGCCACTCCTCGGAAAGAAGGTTGGGCAATCCTACTTCCGTAGTGATACTGCCTTGGAAACTCAAGGAGGGGTTGCTATGAGTCGGGGCCGACTCGATGGCAAATAACAACAACAACAACATTATAAGTGGTATCAATTTTTAAATTTTCTAATTGTTGCTGTATACAGAAATACAAAGGATATTAAAAAAGAAAAGAAAAAAACAACAACTCCCCTTCAGTTGTCTCTGACTCATAGCAACCCTGCAAGACAGAGCAGATCTGTCCCATAGGATTTCCAAGGTTATAATCTTTACAGACTGCCACATATTTCCCTCGTGGAATGGCTGATGGCTTCAGACTGCCAACATTTTGGTTAGTAGTTGACCACTTAATCACTGTGCCACCAAGGCTGCTGCTGCTTTTTTTTTTTTTTAAATTGTGCTTTGGGTGCAA